TATGTTACTTTCAGGAAATGGTTGAACAAGATTCTCCATATCTTCTTATTTTTCTCTAAGTAACTTTTTACAAGGGAGCCCACCCACAGCTATCATTTAATTTTCATAATGAATAGATAAAAGTTTCAAAAGATACATGATAAAAAGGGTACAGTTATAATTTTTGTATAAAAAAGTGTATGTTGGGGCAGAGCCCTAATTTATACTTACACAAAATAGCACAAAATGTGAAACAACATGAAGAAACATTCAACAAGAGAAGTTGCATAAGTAAATGGAATTTATGCATAACAACAATTGTACAGACAGTAATTCAGTTGTGTTTGAAATGCTGGAAATTACTTATTCTTAGAAGTTCAAATGAGGAAAATGTTCTTGTTTATAATCTGCAAAGAATGTACAAATTGTGTGAAAGTGATATAGAATCCGTAATTAATAAATCTGTCTAAATTAATTTGTAACATTTTCTATAGTTGAAAGTTCGATGTTTAAATTTATAGCAGGAGTTATTTACCTTTTACTGTTAGTTTGAATTGCTTAAGGCTTTCAAAGAAAAGTGTTTTTTATCTGAAGTGAAGGAGAAGATTTCAATTCATGAAATAATAGTCAATCTCAATGAAAGGAATGTTCTTAAAGAAGAAGGTATTGTAGATTGAGAAGGTTGGTGTAAGGTGGGTTCAAAGAAACTTGTTGAGTGAGAGAAAATTGTAGTTTTCACTTGAAAATTGAGAAATAGTATTTGGTACTAAAAATGTAATTTTTTAGTTTAACTCTTCCGAGTTGAAAATCAACATAAATATATTGAAGTATCTTGCGGCTTGCCACTCAAATTTGTTCACCGTAGAGGAATGAAATCAGTTGAAATGAATTGTCGAAAGTCATATGTGCTCAGGCAGCATGCTGTCTGCTAATGAAAATCTCACTGCTAGAAGTTGATAAGTTTCTGTGTCTTTGTGGTTGAAGGAGTAAATAGATGTTCATAAATGTGCATAGATGTGTGATGTTTGTACATAAGTGTGTGTGCGTGTGTGGCATAATGTTTCATAGTGTTTTTCCCTAAGGGACAAACGCAACCTCTCCACAGAGCTACATCTTTTATGTGAGAGAAGGAAAGAGAGAAATAGTGAAGATGTGTTCAAGTATTTATAATTAATATGAACCACGTGATAGGCTCAAGAACACATAACCAGATTTTGGCAGTAAATTATATTTAAACACAACTGCGTAGGCATTGTAACACTTTTCACATATATTAGCCAATCAGAAATTGGAAATTTATCTGAAGCTTCTGTGATCCAAATGGCGTTTGTTGTCAAGAGAAACATTACATGAAAAATGAATTGAAGTATTTTACAACCAATAGAATTCACTGAGTCAAAGTAATATTATAATTAGGTAGAAGTCGAATGCTAAATGTATTTCTTAGTAATTAGAGTATACATGTACTGTACATATTACTGGCAGAAGATACCAAATAGAAATACAGAATGTTATATAACTTAATTCTTTATTTATTCTTTTTAATTTTAAGTAATGAGTTGATATTTTAAAATAGTTTACTGCACAATTTATATATTCACAGATAGTTCAACAGTACAACAGAGCATTGCATGCAGTCAACTATATTAAGAGCAATCATTTGTGTCCAATAGATGATCATGCAAATTCGCCAGTAATTGCTTCTGCCTCCATTTCATCTAAGAATTTCTTTTCAATGGATAACATGTATAATACCAAATTTTCCTCAGGCGTCAAATTTCTTAACCTTGTCATTATCATCTTTAGCTTTGAAAATTTCCCCTCACATTGGACTGTAATAACTGATAGTGTGTGAATGACTTTTAAAGTTCCTATTCCTTTTTATTATTAAAACAGTTGATGGAATAGTCCATACATACCTTTTCCCCCCTCCAGAATAATACACTCTACCACAAAATTACCTATCAATCAAAACCCTAGTTCCAGTGAACTAGACTTTTCATTGGCTCAAACCTCTAAAACTGTAGCAAATTCACGCAAAAATGTCTTTTCACACATAGCCATTTTGAGCCGAACTAAATAAACAGAAGCATCCAAATCGATTCAAGTTAGAATTTCATCCTGGAGAAATGCCAAACTAATCCACGCCTATCAAAATTGTAACCAGCTACATTTTTGCCGTGCAAACTTTCTCTGACTTAACACATGCAGCATTTTGCTCTACCAGGAACTATTTCTTACAATACTAAAAAGTGATAATAACTCACTATTAACAAGTATTTGTAAACATTCAATCAAACATCAAAACAACTAAAGGAACACAACTCATACCAGTTTTGGACAATATTTGTGTATATTTTATTCTATATAAATCCATGTTATTGTTATATCTTTAACTACGTTGTTTTCACTTTGATTTATCTTGAATGATTTGTCTTCAATATTTGTATTTCTAAATTTATTATGGATGAATGTCTAAGAACACCAACATCATTGACCCTATCGATAAAATAACCTTCTGATACCTAATACACATTCGCCAGTCTGCAACACAGTTGTCAGTGTTTGTTTCTTTATTGCATTTTTATTTGATGTAGGGAGCCCAATTCATCAGGGAACCAATTGTCATTGGGTAAGCTGACACTCTGGCAAGACCACTACTGCTTATGTGTCCCACAATATTCAGCTCTCTTTCTGAGTTTCATTGTATTTCCTACTTTCTTTAAAATTTCTATTAAAAAAGTAGAAAATATAAAAAGTTTATGGAAAATATCAAAATTAATTATGAAATATGAAGACTTTTTGCAATTAGAAATATCATAAAAGTCTATTAAAGTATACTTCTGATGTCTCAACCTAAACTCTGAAATTTTATTTACTAATTATTGTTTTTCCTCTTCAATAGCAGTATATAGGTTAGCCAATCACCCAGTTCACATTCCTCCAAGGACCTTAAACAGGAACAGAGTTTTATCCCTTGTTTCCTGTTTAGAATTTTGTTTCCAGGTTCTTTCTAAAGGTTATGCAGTAGGATTTTACCTATTTGCAGATGTTAGTTACAAGATAAAGTGTAAAGAGTTAAACAAAAGGAGGCTGACTACTTATCATGTGTTGTATAATATTAGCTGGCCACTCATATTTGAAGATACCCGTCTACTAGGTTGGCTAGCCAATCCCTATTGCAGATGCTCACTCAGGCATATTTGTGCTTGCTCAACACCCACACACCCACAGAGCCCACCTGTGGTTTTATACTGCAACTATGCTGAGCAGACCTTAATTACAGTTTCTGGGAGAGAGCATGTTATCAAGCATGATCAACAATTTGAACAAGGTCAGCACACTCAAGCCCTCGGCCACGATGACTTATGGCTTCGTCCTAGCACAGCTATCGACAACCCGCAAAGAGTTCCATCTGCCCAATTTCACTCACAAGGCTTAGGTTAACTCGTGATATGGTTTTCAAGCACTTTCCATGTAGAGCATGTTATCAAGCATGATCAACAACTTGAACAAGGTCAGCACGCTCAAGCCCTCAGCCACGATGACTTGTGGCTTCTTCCTAGCACAGCTATCGGCAACCCGCAAAGAGTTCCATCTGTCCAATTTCACTCACAAGGCTTAGGTTAACTTGTGATATGGTTTTCAGGCACTTTTCAAAAGTGCCGCACGCTGGGATCAACCTCAGTCCAGTCCGATAGCATCAGGAAGTCTCTTTCCTGACAAATGGAACCTGGTGAGATTCAAACCAGGACCTCATGGTTAGAAAGCGAACATTCTAACTACTTGGCCACATGCCCATGTGTTGTAAAACAACACTATATAACAGTCTACTTCAACTCTATACTTATGACGTGTCTGCCTGAACTCTGAAATTTTATTTACTAATTTTTTTTTACCTCCTCAATAAGAATAGATAGGTTTGCCTATTGGTCAAATCACACTTGCCTTTTGAACAGGAGTAGAGGTTGAAACCTTATTCCATTCCATGTTAAGGATTAGTTTTCCAGTTCCTTCTAAAGTCTTTTCATTCTCTTTCACTCTCAGTAGCCCCTTGCATCTTAGTGGCAATGTCACCTTGGTTGGGGTGAATTGATTAAAAATACAAAAAAAAAAGAAAGTAGTGATGAAATGAAAGACCATGTGCCCAATGTATAATACTGAAAAATGTATTTATTCTTCACACAAATTACATATGAAAGAAGAAAGGAAAACATTTAAAAAGGCAATGATTCTTAAACTTTGAAAGGAACTTGATGCTTTTAAGAGATGTAAGGATACTTCTTTCCTTATGTTTAAATATTGCACAAATTCTTCTCTGTGCATAGATTAGCCAGCAACCAAGATTTATTTAACTGGTTGTGTCTTTTCCTCAAATATCTTAAAAGAAAGTTCAGTTGCATTTGTTGAAATTGTTGTTCCTTTGAACTTGCTTGTTGTTGTCAGTAATGTTGAACAGTGAAGATTTATTGGGTAATAATTGTACAGTATTTACATTAGTCGGACTATTGTCCTCATCTTTGTCGTCATATTTGTCGCAACGTTTCGGCCGTTGTACACTCCGGCCTTCTTCAGGTGGTTGGAATTTCGAACTGAACCCTTTTATTTCGATCACTGGGGTAGACTGTTCTAGTTCCACGTGCCATGTTTGATGGATGTCAGTTATCAGTTATCTCCTGCTAATTTTCTCTCTGAAAGTTCTCTACTGCCTTAACTGGGTATTGAACTCACATTCTTTGGGTCTGTCACTGGATCTAACCAACGCCTTTATCCACTGTGCCATGTGTCCTTGCCGAAACGTTGTGACAAATATGGCGACAAAGATGAGGACAATAGTCCGACTAATGTAAATACTGTACATAATACCTCATCTCAGAAATATAGACAGACTCTGGGTAATAATTGTAGTTTTCAAAACCTTTTGTGAGTCAGCACTCTTAAGCAGTGAACAACAGTTGCATAGTTGACAACCCATTCTGTGACAAAACCACTCCTTAGAATGGACTTATAGACACATCATGTTGAAACACTGGTTCCCATACGATCATTGAAGTTAAGCAACTTCGAGCCTAGTCAGTACCAAGATGGGTGACTGCTTGGGAATCCCAGGTGCTATAAGCTTGCATGTGCAAGTTTTGTAATGGTTAATGGCTTAAAAGTGTTAATCAGAGTTCCAATTCTGGTTGGGTTTGTTATATTCACTTATGTGCAAATACCCTTACTAAGGCATACTAAGGCATGAATCCACCTCTTCTCCCCCATGGGTTAACTAGTAATACTTGTATCACTAAACCATTATTACCTCCTGAAAAAAGTAAAACATTCTTACAATCGAAACATATTTTCTGGCTTTAAATAACCAGAAAAGGGCTTATAAGCCACAGAAAATGAATGAATGAATCAATCAATCCTTAGGATGGTTAACCTTTTGCGTTCTCCAAAGTGTCCGTCTAGCCAATAACTTCACACTGCTGATGAAAGCCTTTATTTACTCGTATTTAAAGAAAAAAAAATAGGCTCCATGTGCTTTTGCATTAATTTCTCCAAAATTACTTTTTTAGGTACGTGAAAAATTTATTAACTAATCATGCTGAGTTTTATGAAATTTAAAATATCTTTTAAGATTCACTGATGTAGAAATACAGAAAGCGATTATCTCCCTTTCATAGAGATAAGTCACAGGGGTTACATGACAGACATTTAGTGTCATCACTCCATACAGTGACCAAAGTGGCAAGTCAAATTTTAGTTCCTTTTACAGTAGCAAACCAAAAGGTTGCTTTTTTCAGCCTGGGCCTCCCATCTACTTCCCCAGCAGCTTACAAGCACATGGGGAGGGTTCTCTTTGGGAATATACCTATCCCAGATATAGAAAAAAAAATGCAGTCTTTAATTTGTGAAAGCCCAAAAGTTGCTGTTTTCAGTATGTACTTGTCTGGAACATAGATGAATCCAATTCAGTTAAATCTAGAGTTCTAAAAATGGCACTCCAGACACAGGAGTATCTCCATGTTATATGCAAGTCCCTTCCTATTATTTCTCCTTACACTTTACTGTGTACATATATGTGATATATTATTCTCCACATGAGACACTTGTATATATGTATATATAGTTTTCTTTATGTTCTAGTGATATAAAAGTCACTCTGAGAACCAAGCACGTTTGCCATTCCTTTTCCTTTTGGCTATTCCATTCCATCCATGAAATATGGTGTTATTATATCACAGATATAATAATGCTCATAATAGGGGAAATATAAATGGAAGAATAAATCTTTCTTCCATAGCCCTCTTGCATTACACTGAGTTTGATTTTGTTTTGATTTTCCTTTGGCATAGAATTTTTTTAATCATTTCAACCCAAACAAGGCAATAAAGCCAGTAAGACACAAGTTACTTAGCAGGAAAGAATATGAAAAAGAGAAAACTATTATTAAGGATCAGTCAGTTATGTGCCATGCATGATACACACTTAGGCAATCGTGTATCTTTTGATACATGACTGACAACGTAAATTTTTTCCCACAGTAGGTTGCCATTTCTTTCTGCAGTAGACCAGTTGCCATCCAAGGCTATAGAACCTAGTCTGCTATTTACCCACAGCTGGGGGGAGAAGAAGAGGATTCATACCTTTCCCAACAGTATTAGCATGTAAGTGAATGTAATGGATTCAACTGGAATTCAAACTCGGCTCTCCAATTCTGCAATCCAAGCCGCTATCGATTACTCCACCATGCCTCCTGAAGTCAGTTATGTGCCATGCATGATACACGCTTAGGCAATCATGTATCTTTCGATACATGACTGACAAGGTAGATTTTTTCCTGCAGTAGGTTGCCCTTTCTTTCTGCGGTAGACCAGTTGACATCCAAGGTTATAGAACTCAGTCTGTTCTGCTATTTACCCATAGCTGGGGGAGAAAAAGAGGATTCATACCTTTCCCAAAGGTATTAGCATATAATGTGATGGATTCAAATGGAATTCAAACTTGGCTCTTCAATTTCTCAATCCGAGCCGCTATCAATTACTCCACTGTGATGTTAAGGATAGAGAACATGAATAGAAATTAAGATGACACAAAATAATGATTGATATTGCATTTTAATTCTTGGAAAGCAAGAGTTCTACAAGTGTAAGAGAAGAACAGTTACATCTAGCTATAACAACTCTAAAATGATGAGAGTTATCTGCCAATCTAGTACTGTGCTTTAGAATAATTACCATGAAAATATTTAGAGAAAATGTACAGGAAAGCTACATTGCAATGATGGAAAGAGATTCATGCCAAGGTGCCAAGTCAGGTCCAATAATATTGTTGATTCTTCTTTGGATTTTATGAAGAATCTCTAAATACATAGCAGAAGTACCAGAACAGATGTGGCAATAATATTTAATGCACGGGTGAACATTGGACTAATAAATTTGTAAGATAGATACTGGCAAGAAAAGTTGTACAACACAATACAGCGAACCAACTTATCGAGCAGCAGACCTAGTAAATGATTTAATATAATCTTTCCACTTCATATCAGTAGAAAACATTAACCCGTGAAGAACTAAGCAGTCACTCCCCTGGGGGTTAGCATCATCCATGCTGGTGGAAGGCAAAAAAGCTTCTCTAAGACAATTAAAAGAGAGCAGTTTCATTTTGGAGCTGTTAAAATCAAGGAATTTGTTGTCCTACTGAAATTTTTATGAAAATATAAGAACCTATTGATCTCTGCGTATTCCTATATCAATGGAAGGGATTTCTTGATGAACTGTTTATATGAGAAAAATAGTTTGTTTAATATTTTAATATTTTGAAATCATCTTCGAATACATTTTCACAACATTGCCCACGTGACGACAACGTGATCATATTTTAAACGGAACGCTGATCTTATATAAAAAATTTCAGTTATCTGTTTGGATTAGTTGCGCTCTTATGTCCATCGTCTTTTTCATGTTGAATTTTATATGTTATAATGTTAATTATGTTTTATGAATATGTCCTGATGATGGTCTAAAATAGACCGAAACGTCCGACCTTGACTTTATATTAACATTAATACAGCATAATTGCATATTAAGATTTTTGTTTGCTTTTTCTGTATATTTTTCTTCATACTGTTGAATCTATATCCATATATTTGCTTACATAACAAGTAATGTAACAAAAACCATTTTTCTCACACATTCACTCACATTTCAATAAAAACCTTTTCAATATATTGACACATTTCACAAAGAAGTATATTCAATTATAACAACAAATTTATATAAGTTCACATACAACTTCAACCATTGTAGAATTCTTGAATTTATTCTAATTCTTCTCGTAAAATTAACAGTTAAATGCAGATAACTTTTTCCAACAAATAACAATTCTTGCTTGAATTGTTGAATAAGAAAGCTTTGGAATTTAAAGTTGACTTTCAAGAAAAAGAACAAATCAATAATAATCCAAAAATTTATATTACTAAAACATTTCAAGCAAAAAGACAGTTCCTGAATTAATTTACTGTCATACAAACAATTCTGAATGCTATTTCTAACAACATAAATAGTTTCTTGTTTAGGAAGGGGTTTCCAGTACTCTCTCTCTCTCTCTCTCACTGGCCTCTGTATCTCCAGTTGTGTTGATCTATCCACTACTCTTCTCCTCATCCTTTCTTCTATCACTCCTATCTGACCTTGCTCCAAATTTTCTGTAACCCCTTGCGTCCTAGTGGCTTTCCACCTTGCTTGGGGTGAAACGCTTAAAAAAAAAAAAAAAGTTAACCTTATCCCATCAGCAAACAACAATATATAAGAAAAGAAAAAGAAAAATAGAAAGCCTTTTCAAAAGAACTTTCTTTGATTATTTTATAGCAACACAACTTGATTGTATATTTCTGTATATATAAATTCAATATCTACATTTATATAACAAAGAAGTCTTTTGTGTCAATTTTTATCAAATATTGTATTGACCTTGTGCCAAAACAAAATTAAAAGGTTTGTAGAGTTTTTATTCACGCAACCTGACTGTTGTGTTTACAGTCCAAGGGAAATAACTTACCTTTAAACCTTTGATTTCGATACTCTTATGAAAAAGAGATTTTAATTGTAATGCCCTTTCCTGTTGTACCCATTGGGCAGAATAAACGCTGTTATCCGTCTCTCCGATTTTGTGTATTCATCTTTTAAGACACGATACTGATCAAGAATGAGAGAATAACTAAAACTTTCTGATATTAATTCTTTGAATTAACACCCTAATTCTGCAACGATATATATAATGTTAGAAACTGACCCATACAAAGAAATTAAAACACAAATAAAAAGAAAGAGAAAGCAGTATCTGAAGAAGGAAAAATAAAAAGAGAGAAATTTTACAGCCATGCTGATATTTCTTAGGTTCTTATTAGGACACATGGGAATCGTGGTGTCTGTCATGCAACTACCTTGGTTCCTTCTGCACAAGGTAGTGAACGATTATGTCCTCATCCCAGACAACATCCATCCTCGGAGCCATTTTTTGTTTATCTATTTATCTTTTTAGTGTGTGTGTTAGCAGCCAGCGTATATATGTGTTGTGTCGGAAACCTACCACCCCTCTTGAAGATGAACTTGTCTGCATCTGTGAACAAAGACTTTAAATAGTGGCATGTCAGTTGACATGAAGACAGATAGACAGAGAAGTTCTTAGCTGAGCTAGTTATTGACTACTCAGGCGATTTCTGTACCTTTTTACCAACCTTTTAAAACCCTTTTTATTGTTATGTTTTATTTGGCGTTTGTCTCTACTAACCCCAAATCAACATCATAACAATATGAATAGTGAATAATTTTTTTTGCGATTATCAAAAGAAAAAACAACACCTGCTTAAATTATTTAGAGATAATACAGAGAAGCAAAAGGGAAATGAATAAAAAATTACCAAAAAATGTAAGAGAATCCACGAATAAAAACGACAGAAAAAGTGAGTAAACAGGAAGATAGATAGACAGACAGACAGAGAGGGAGAGACAGTGTAAGAGGGAAGCAGATATATTCTGGAAGGAAAGAAAGAGTAAATGTGATGTTACATAGACATTTACAATGGCAGGCATAATATGACATTGTGCAGAAAGAGTGAGAATTGAACTCA